GTGAGTTCAAAACAAACACAAGTGGTTAATGAACAATAAAAAATATATCAAAGCTACGATTTGTTGATGTGAGCGATGGAAAACGGTTTCTATGACTTGAAATATAAACTGCGAAGGATGCAAGTCATCAGTTCAACAGGAACCAGCAAGCTGCTCTCACTGCCAAGCACGCTGGGATGGTAAGTTCAGCTGAACATTATCAGTGAGTTGCTGTTCTCTGCAGCTCAATATTCAGTCCTGACAGCACAGTAAACAGTAACTTAATGTCACTGCTTTTGCCTCAGAGTTCAGTTTGAATGAATGTGGGTCACTCGACACGTTCCATCTTCTAACCGTAGACATGGACAGAACCTGTTGCGTGTGAATCTGTTTTCCTTTAGTTCCATGATGGTCTGGACTCTGACAGGTCTGGAGCCGACCAACAATGAAAGAATCACCTGAATAATTTCTAATGGTTCTGTTTTCACAGCAGCTGTAGGACAAAAGTCTTGTGCCATCCCTTATTTCTTTATTTTGCAAAAAAAAAAAAAAGCGAATGAAGTGATTTATTGCAATGTGCAAAGATAAATGGACAGTACATATGGAAAAAACAAGTCCGTACACTTCTAATGAGCTTGCGAGTGACTATTTGGTGTGATGACTTTTATTTAGCATTAGTTCTTTGGCAAGTTTCCGGTCAGTTCTTTCAGCCATCCAGTCCTGTTGAAGGACATTTCAGAGCTCTTCTTAATGTGTTGCCTTTGATTCATTCTCTCTCGAGATATTGTTGTCCTTAAGTCTGTTGCCAGTGATTTTCAGCCCAATTCTTCTTCATGGCTCGCCTTTTCTCCTTCCATTTCTGTTCCTTAGGAATAGCTTGTTAGCAGCCACCCTTCCACTGACACCATTTATGATGAGTATACGGATCAACTTAATGCGCAGGGTGGATTTCCCACGCTGACTGCAGGACACGACTTTCGTTTCCAAGCCACCTGTTTTATTTTCCCCTGCAGACCACATGAAATCATACTTTTCAGCTAATAACTCTTTGGGAATCACCTTGTTTGTGCAGAAATGCTGTTAAGCCTGTCAAACTATGTTATCAAATTTATTTAAAAATAATAATTTTACTAAAGAAAAGGAAGCAAAAGTGTGTATTTTTGCAGTAAGCTGCTTCTAAAGATAAATTATACAGCCTGACTTTTTTTTTTTTTGCTATTACAGAGGCTGTCTGTAATGTGTAGACATAATAATGGTTCATCCCCAAAAGTGGGCCAAAAGTGGCAAAACAAGCAGGAAACCGGTAAACGTTGAAGTCCGACTTTGAGTCTTTCCAACCGCTATACCACACCCATACCACGTGGGGGCGGTATAGTGCCTAACAGCTAATGGCCAATCGTCTTCAAACACAAGAAGAAGAGAGGAAGCGGAGGGAGAGGGTGGAAACAGCTACCCCACACTTGACTTCATTGAATGAGATTCAACATCAATTAGCGTTTGTTTTGGTTCAGTGTTCTGCATACAGAATACGCTCACATTCTGTTAGAGGAACGCGGATAGAAATTTTTACACCTCTACAGATCAAGGGTAAGCATGCAGTGGCAACATTTAGCTAGGAAACAAACACACACTGGGCGGTTTATTTTTCTGCTAGCATGGTATCTGCCTACAGTTCGCTTAGCTAGCTGAGGACAACATGGTTATAGCTCAAAGGTTAGCCCGCACACTCAACAGATAATTAAAGAACTCTGCAAATTTGAATAACTTCAGCTTATTGCTTATGTTCGTGTTGATGCTTTGGATGTCAATAGTCATGATATATTATAATAAAAAGGAGTTTGCAGTTGGTGTGAGCTTTATTCAGTCTAATTTGATGAAACCACGGCAACGGTAAGCTAGCTATTAGCATTCACGAGATAGCATTGGTGTAGACTATTTCCTGCAGAAGTGTTCATAATGGAAGAGTTTTATTGAGAACAGGATTTATTTAGTAATTTATTTTTTTAATCCTGCAAGTAAACAGTTAAGTTCATAGCTACGTGTAGTTCCTGTCGCTTTTTGTCAATGCCGCTGTCATCACACAGTGGTCGGAGTGAAGCTAGCAAGACAAACTGCAGGACTAACATCAGTGAGCAGAATAAGTGAAGCAGCGTGAAGGCACCGGGACGTGTATTCTGTGTCTGTGGAGAGGGTAGCAAAGCCTGTGGCTGCCCACTGAAACGGTCCCACGCGTTAGTTGTAAAATTACGGCGTGGGTTTTTTTTAGGTCATTATTACTGCCTTTATATTCCTAGTAGTTGTTTCGTAATAATTGTGCCAAAATTAGCTTCAGTACTTTGTAACAACAAGTCAAGACTATGTAACGGCTTGTTTACATTACAAGTGTTCAGTAAGATTAGAAAAGTGCTGCCATGTCAAATTAATGAAATTTACTAATACTTCTACTTTTTATTGAACTATACGCTTTCATTCGTGTGAAGTTGTCTTTTATAGGCTAATTATGAATATGTTTTGTAACCACCCAGTTCTTATTTTATTGTAAGACATGGCGGGTCCACGGTAGACCTAAAGTGTTAAAGACTCCCCTAAAAAATACAATATAATGGAGGTTATGCTTTGAGACTGTGACAGGCTATCCCAGGGTCCTGAGTGTCCTGTACTGCCTATGGAGCGCTGTCTCAGCACGGTCAGTGCTGGATCTATGCTGAATCAGATCAACTCATGTATAAATGCTGTGAAAACACTCAACTGCATATCATTGTAATTTACAAACTAGAATAATCTGCATGGAAATGTGTACTTTCATCTTTACATTTTGGTATATAGCACTACAGCTCTATGAAGCAAAGTGATTCATAGAGTTTTCTTTTTGTCACTTAAAAATCCAAACAGACAGAAGCAGCTACTGTGTTATTCTGATGTCCACTGTGGACTTTGTGAACTGACTGTATTCTCTCCCACCGTTGCAGACTGTGTTTGTTTGTAGGTGACGAGCTGGCGCAGGTTGTGGGTTTTTCTTGGATAATGCGAGACAGTGGTGGTAGCCTAGCCCAGAACCGCTGGCAGAGAGACCTGGGTCTGACCGCTGTGGGGCAGAACGACACAGGAGGAGGTTAGCACTCACTGTTTGTGTGTAAAATATTAACCCCC